ACGCTACATGTCTTCCATATGAGGCTCGGCTCTCGCACCTCGACCTGTCGTGCCAAGCGAGGCGTTTCGCATCGACAAATCGACCGTCCGGATCGCTGGCGCCACAACAATAACAACAACAACTACGTACTACTAACTGCTGCAGCTGCGAATAATAGACGTGTCTAGTATAAGACGGCCGAAACCCAAAGAGCCTTCGTCAGTCACATTAGTCGCGTTCTATTTTACGCTCGATTCACCCGCGAGTACTCGGAGCTATCGCTCCGACGACCCCTCGCCCTTTTCGCCCTTCTTTGCCCTTCCTGCGTCCACCATGTCGCGCTTAAGTGCTCTTTCAGGAGGGGGGGGGAGTCGAGCAGGGGGCGGCGGGGGTGGAGGCGGTGGAAACGCAACACTTCGTGGCGCGACGTGGCCGGGGCCGGGTAGAGAGAGGGCCGGGCCGAGGCGTCGAATGGGTGGCCTAGCCACCGGGGCCGGGCGCGCCGGGGCCGGCTGAGTGAGACTGAGGGTCCTGTACGTACTGGGGTCGCGCAGGCACAGCCATGGCCAACTACTTCCGCTGGATACGGGGCGGACGGGGCCTGGAGGAGGACTTCCCCCCCGTCGGGAAGCCCCGCAGCAGGTCCCTGGACGCCAAGACGCTCGAGCAGTCGGGTGTGCGGCTGGTGCAGCAAGTAAGACAGAAAAGGGGACATCTGTGTGAGAGAAAGCTAGAGCGAGCGATCGAGTAAAGCGTACACTGATAAATAGAGTGATCTACCCCTCAACACTTGTTAGTCTTTAACTCCTCTGTTGAACACTTTATTCAAAGTCTGCATGGTGAAGTGTATTCAAAGTCTGCATGGTGAAGTGTTCAATTTGGGAGTTAAACCCCTAAAAGTGCACATAACTACTGAGTTGAACACTGCCAAGTGCACAACTAAAGTACCAATCTGAGCACTTTATTTATCAATGTATGTGTGTGCGTGCGGGTGTGTTAGAGAGAGAGTGCGATTGTGAGAGAGAGAGACAGGCAGAGATGTAACGCACGTGGGTATGCAACCCGGTGCGCAGCGGTGCTCGGGGCGAGGAGTGCTGCCTACCCGGCCGGCGCTCCCCGCCCGCGCCGCTGGTGGTGGTGAGGCCGCTGCCGCTGCTCCTCCCGCCGCTCGCGCACTGCGCTCACCGGGACTGCGCCGCGCCACGCAGCGCCATGCCCCTGTTTCGCCGAGTGTAAAACTCATTGTTCGCATGTTTGTTTGCTTGCAGAGAGCGGTAGCGCAGCACAGAGCAGTCGCGGCACAGAGTAAGTACACCGACGTTCCCTCACCTGAGTTGAGAGGGAGAGAGCAGTAGCGTAGTGTATTAGTCTGTTGTTTCTTTCGGGGGGGGGGGAGAGGAGAATCAGTAGACGTGGGCGGCAAGCCGGCCGGAGACTCGGCCGAAGCCCGCCATGTGCGGGAAGAATGCGCCGTCATTTTGCTGAGATGATTCTCTCACTTCGCCAAGTTCTCGCTGACATTGACCAAGGTCCGGGCAGCCACCATGCACTGTGCGCGCGCGCGCGCACTGTCCGCACTGCCACGCTGCTGCTGACCCCGTGCAACCTGCAACGCGGTCGCGTTTCTCACTATTGCGTCTTCAGTGAGGAGGCAGCGAGCAGAGCTTTCTTTTGCACTGTTGTTGTTGTCGTCCTTGTCGCCGGCTAATGCGTCGGCCAGGTCGGCACGCCGGCGCCGGCGGTGCAGCGAGCAGCATCGACTGAAGAAGAAGAAACGATCCACAAGAGTTTATGGCCCGACTGTGACGCCACGCCCCACCTCGCCCCGCCACGCCTATGACTCGCTGTTTTGCACCTTTCCGCACGGACGCCTCGGCCGCCGACACGAGTCGTTACCCGCTCCGGTGCTCCCGACGGGGCTGGGCGGGGCAGACGCCTTTAGCTGCTCGCATGCCGCGATCATTCTATTTTCACGAAGCAGAAGGAAAACACCCCTCTTTGGGGAAAGTTTTTAAATTGAATTGGGCGCCGCGCGTCGTCGCCTTTCAATTCTGCTGCCCCCCTTTTGCTTCGTGTTCCTCCAGAAGAGCTGGGCGCAGGCGCTCCCCACTGACCCCCAAACATATCTCCTCAACCCTCTCACCCCGTTCCCCTCCTCCTCCTCTGCTGCTCTCGTGCTTCCGATGAGCGTCATCACGGCGGATGCAATAAAAGCGAGAGAGATAGAAATGTGGGGGGTCGGCCGCCGGTTGGGTGGGAGGAGGAGGATCCGAGGGATCCGCGCGGGGAGATCACGGCGCTGTTGTGGACGCCACGGCGGCGCAGTCAGCGCGGCCCGCAGATCGGCGCCGGGTCGTCCTTGGTCCCACATCCGCGCCGCGGGGGCGGCCGGGAGGGGGGGAGGGGGAGGGGCTGGTGGTGGGTGGTGCCGGGTGGGGCACTCACGGGGGTGGCTGCCGCGCGGCGCCGCGCGCGTGGAATGTCGATGAGGAAGCTGTCATCAATTCTGGGCTACGCTCGCCTTTTCTGCTATGAGGGGCCGCGTCTGAGAGTTTTCGTGTTTTGTTTTCATAACCTTTTCTCCCGTACCTTTTCCGTCTCGGAGGACTTTTCTGACGCAACCTGTTTTCACTTAGGAGGAGGAGGAGGAGGGAGGGGCATGGGATAACAAGTTTCCATTCAATTTCCGTCTTCTCTTTTATTTTATTTGTTTTTATCGTCGCACAACATTGTTTAAGGATCCGCTCCCGAGATATTCTACATCCGGTCGTCAACAGCAAAGGGTTGCTTGTCTTTTAAAGGCGTTTCCAGGTGGCGCACCGTAGATAATTACTTGAAATAATTTCCTGTTCGCCAACGATTCCAAAGTGGCTGTCTACATTTTGAGGCGAACACAAAGCTGGCTGCTGGAAAAGGCAGTAGTGAGGTCGAGGCCCTCCGAGATGCGCGGAATTCCAAAGAGAGGGGGATTCCTTCTCCAGTGGAGCAGCCCTCCAGGCGGCAGGGTCGGAGAGACTCGGGCCGCGGCGCGTACAGAATACTTCCGCCCTCGCATCGGGGAGGGACTGCTTCGCCTTCATCAAACCAAAACGCCGACTCCATTCCCGGTGAAGCCGCTAGCGAGGGCGGCACGGGCGGCCAAGCAGAGGGAGGCCTCCACCGCCTCTCCACCCCAGCGCGCCGGGCCGAGAGCCTCTATGGCGTTAGTAATTAAACGGGAAGTCGGGTCTGATCCAGCGAGCATCTGCCTGACCCCGCCGACCAACCGCTGACCTTTCGGGCGGCCGGCGCCGGCACGCCGCAGGGAGGGAAACA